GTCTACACCCCTCAGAAAACAACGCCATGATGCAGCCCAAAGTCAAGTGGAAGGCCCCTGAGGGCTGGCTGTCCCTAGCTTTTCCTGATATCAGGAAATCACATGACCAGCAGCCAACCTCCTCTCAGCCCTGAGTGTGTCCCCCAACCCTTTCCTGGGCAGTGTCACTCAGCCCTGCGCCTCAGCGCTTCACTCCCCTCTACCTCCCATGCTCTCCAGAGGCCTCAATGGACCCAGGCTCCTTCCAAGACCACACCCCAGGAGGAACATGCTGGTTAATTCTGATTTGTTAAAAGCAATTAATATATTTTCCCACACCCTCAAATTTTCAAAACAGATCAATATGACTCCCCTTCTCGAATGCCTAATTTTTATGAAAATGTTCTCTTCCACGCATGCACATGCTCTGCCCCCACAGTCTGACTGGCACAGCTGGTGCCAGTGCTGAGGGTCCCATGCGGAAGAGAACCAGCTTCCCTGCAGAGTCCAGGAGGGCTGGCTATTTCTGGGCCTTCTCAAACACACGTGGGAAAGAAATGACGTACACCAAACTTTCAGAATCTCTTCTCTAAGAATGCCTGACCTCCATGGAAGGAGTGGGAGAGCCCTCCATCCCCCCACTTTCGGCGAGAGCCTGTGCTGCAGACTGGATGCAGTCAGCACAGAGCCCGCAGCGCTCGGGCGAAGGCCTGTGCAGGATGCTCGCAGACCCTGCCTCTCCTCCTGCACAGTGAGCAGTCCCCTCCCTGGACCTCATCTGGATCCTGTACTCTTGTTCAGCAACTAAACAGACACGGTCCTCTTTGGTGGTGGATTCACCTCCAGCAGTTATATTTGACCGACCCTGGCCTTACCTTCTTTTCTTATCCTTATTTTCCCGTTGCCCAATTTTTTCTATTATCTATTCAATCCTCTGGTATTGCCAACTGCAATCCTTTCTAGAGTGAAGCAGGGCAAACAAATGAAATGATCGTCCTCTTCAGTAACCACGTGGTGAACCACTGTCAACGTGCATGAAGGGGCCAGCCCTGTGCGTGGAGCTCCTGGCCTGTAGGAAGCCTGGGGTTACCTGGGGAGCAGACCTGAACCACACCACACCACAGACGGCTTCTCTGCATCAGCCAGTGCTGAAGGTGTCACTGAGGTAGGGGCTCCATCAGGACAGCTCGAGACCAGGCCACAGGTTGCAGTGCCCACCCCATGCCAAGCATGCCACTGCCTGCCTCAGTTCTGGAACTTCAGGTTGGTTCTAGTTCACCCGAGGGAATCAGAGGGCAATGAGGACTGCTATGCTCCATCCTCGTTCTGTTTTCTTCTGTTTTCTAAGAATGGGAATGCTCACAGTTGACCTCCTACCCAGAAACCCGAGGCACCCGGCAACATGGCTCGGTCACACTGCCGCAGGGCCAGTGCAGCTCTGGCTCTGGGCACTGAGTCGGGGAGCTCCGCAAAGGGAACTGACATGGCGAGCTGGGCATTCTTCCCTTCTTTCACTGGCCCTCCCCCTGTGGAGGCCACCCTGGCGCAGACATGGGGGAGTGGGAGGTCTAGCCCTGACCTTGGAGCACCCATGTCAGAGGACAGCAGCAATCTTTATATTCCAGGCTTCCACCTTGACTCACAGGGACACTTCTCCCAATCCCGTGTGGCGCCTCTGATGGGGGTTCCCGCTGCCCCGAGAACATCTACAATTTATCCATAGCCTGCTGAGCGTCCTGACTGGCCCTGCAGAACATGGGAGGGTGAACAGAGCCCTGGGTGGGAGAACAGATGGGCTGTTCACTCCATCCATGCTGGCTGTCCTGTCTGTGTGGTCTCGGGCGAACTCCAACCTCTCATGCCTGAGAGGCCTCCTGAGGGTCCCACAGCTTCACCTGCACACAGCGGTCCTGACTACTCACCAAGACCAAGTGAGGCAGCCAACACAGGTAAGCCCAGGAGCCAGCCTCAAGGGGGAGGGCAGCCAGTTCACCAGGAACAACGAAACTATGATGTGAACATGACTGCCAGATGAGGCAAGAGTGCTGAAGGCACCTCCAGCCCAGAATTCTCTCTAAGCCCTAGACTTCTCACACTTTAGCCACACCTCTACCTGCGAGCCCACTGGACATTTTAACGTGTCTAGAACATAATCCCACCTCTGCTCAAACCTGCTCTCCTCACAGCCACACTCATGCCAGGCGCCGGCAGTCCTCCCAGCTACGGAGCTGGCATCCATCAGAGCTGTCCCACACTCCCGCAGCGGGCCCGGTCCTCCAGCCCGTCCTTCCTGTTCTCTTCCACAGGGAACCGGACCTCCACAGCCTCATCACATCTGGGCATGTCACTGCCCACCTGGAAAGGGCAGTGGTCTCCTGATTGGTTTTCCTGGGCCCACCTCGCCCCATACCTAGCCTGGGGTCCTCCTAGGCCTTCTCATCCTAAATCTGATCAAGTCCCTCCTCAGTTCCCAGCCCATTCCTGCCTCCTCAGCTCATTGAGTAAAAGCCAAAGGGTTTGCAATGACCTAAAGGCCCTACACCAATCTAGTTAGCATACTGCACGCAACAAGCTAAATACACTGAGATAAAGTATTTACAAACTTTTATAGCAACCTGACATTGCTACAAAATCTAAGCACTAATACAAAAGTATCAGTCTGAGATGGATTAGAAATGGAAAGAACTGCTCCCGACCGACCGACCGGAGTTAGTTTGAGAAGCAGGCCTCCACCTTCTCAAGGCTTGCCCTTTGCCACACTCCCACCCTGATCTCCCCACTGCTCTCCCTCATGTGGCTCCAGCCACACTGGCTGCCTTCTTGTTCCCCTTCTTATTCCGCAAACAACCTGACAGGACTCAGGTTGTTCCAGACATTCAACAGCTCATTCCCTCTCCTCCTTCAGCACTTGCTCCACCATCACTTTCTCAGAGAGGCCTGTTCTGACACCCTCCTTAATGAGCATTGCAGACCACCTTCCCTACTCTTCATACTCAGCTGGGTTGTTCTGGGTTTTGTTTGCTGTTTGACAATGCACTTATCACGGAACATGCTGTGTAATATCTTACATTTACTGTCTCTCTTCCCATTTGTGGTGGCAGGGGCTCTGCTTTGTGCTCAGCACAGTGCCTGGCACATTGTGGGAACCGAATGCATATCTGAATGAACGAGGAAGCATGGGAGCCAGAGTGCAGCCGGGGCAGGCTTCACTGAGAGCAGCGCCCCAAGGCAGACCTGGGCAAACCCATGCTGGCAGAGGGCAACCAAGGACCACCAGGGAAGGGAGCTGTCTGCCATGTCAAAGGCTCTGAGCTGGGCCCTCTGGGGACCCCTGGGATCCAGAGGAGCTTTCTGAGACCTGGGATCAGAACGTGATTTTTAAAGTTGGAGGGTAGATAAGAATGGGGAGGATAACAGCAAGGAAATCAATCAGGAAGTTGGCAGAGAATTGAGGCCATGGAACTAGAGATGAAGGACAGTATTTGAGAGTTTTCCGAGATCAGATCTCTAGATAGCTATGGTAGGTGAGAGGGAGGGAGGAGGCACAGGGAGGATAAATGGATATGGTATGGCAAAGGAAGCTCTCCTCAAACACCACCATGGTTGCTGTGGGCAAGAACAGCAGCCAAAGCGCCAGAGCCTCCCATGGTGTTGGCTCTCCCACGAAGGGGTCTTGGCGACTGACCTTCTCTGCACTGACCCTGGGTCTGCACCTGTGTCCACCAGGCATCCCCTGAGGGGTCTGGGGTCCTAAGTGTGCGTCTCACAAATGTCTCCCCTGAATCAAGCCTGAGTTTCACAAGACCATTCTTGGATGGCTGGCATCAGTCTGGCTTCTCCACTGCTGGATTCCAAGCAAGTGTGTTCAAAGCAAGTCCACAATGTGCATATATTAAGCATTTAACCTTACACTCAACACTTTGTTAGGTGCTAACAAAGAACAGAAAGAAGTCATGGGACAGGATCCCAAAGCATCCCCCCACCCCACCACGGAGAGTGTGAAACATGGAGAGGACTGCACACACTAAATGGTGAAGGATGAAACATTACACCAGGTAACACCTGTTTTCCCAAAACTCATCTAGGGCGGGAGAAACTGTCAAAAACAAAACAAAACAGCCCTGGCCGGTTTGGCTCAGCGGTTAGAGCGTCGGCCTGCGGTCCGGAGAGACCCGGGTTCGGTTCCCGCTAAGGGCGCGTACTTCGGTTGCAGTTTGTCCCCGGCCCTGGTTGGTCGTGCGGGTGGCAGCCACTCGATGTGTCCCTTCACGTCGATGTTTCTCTCTCTCTCTCCTTCCTCTCTCTCTCTCCCACTCTATCTGTACAAAAAATGGAAAATATCCTCGGGTGAGGATAAAAAACAAAACAAAACAAAACAAAACAAATTCCTCATTTTTATCCTTACTTTCCACCAGAGCCAAAGGAGAAGAGAAATGTACATGGGCTATGTACCTGGAGCAACGGGCAGATGTACAGGGGAGGACCCACGTGGAAGGAACTTTAGGGCAAAGGTGCAGAGGGGAGACTGGCCGGGTGGAACAGGGTGTCTGGTCCTAGCACAGTGCGAGGAAGGGGAAGTGGCCTGTCAGCCTGATTTTAACGTGCAAATGTCCCAGGAGAGCCAGCCTGCCACCAGAAGGGCCAGGTGGAGACAAAGTCAACCACTGAGACTCACACCAGCCCTTACAGTACTAAATGGGTAGAACCTGGGAAAAACAAAAAGGGTGCTCCTGGAGCTCTGGGAACACTGGGAACAGCCTGACGGTCTGATGGATGAAGCAGACCTGTCACTCAGCACACCTGGGAGCTCCTTGGAAACACACTTTGTTTTGACCTTTGACACTCTCTACAGTGTAAAGCTGGACTTCGTTACAAAGTCTTCTATTAACTGTTCAGGGAAGATTGGGCACGAAGGAAAATATCCCAGAGCTCAACACAGTGACCACATAAATGCCCACATCCAAGAGGCTGCAGTATTAACGAGGCAAGAATAAACAGTCAGTGTTTCCAGGGCTGAATACAGGCTGACCACACCTTACTGGGGAGTCACACAAAGGCTCTTTGTTGGTACTCCTTCTAATAATAATAGCTTTCTTCTCTGCAGCAGGGCCCCATTTGGGGCCAAAGGTAGATTTGATTGAGAGCATTTTCTTGTAGGCAACAGTGAAATCTGTTTTCAATTTAACCTGCAACAGCTGTAGACTCTGAAGAAGATACAGTATTATTAGTCAAAAGAGAAGCCCCATTTTTAGTTACCCATTGAATTAGGTATCTTCAAACATTGTGACCTAGAATTGACAGTACAGCTAACTCTCTGTTTACCATGGTAATGGGGATTTCAGGAAGAACAGCAGTTAATTGAGAAGCAAAAACAACTCCCCTTTGTCCTCAGCAAGGCACGCCTCATTGCATCGAGGACGAGGACGATGGCTCCCTATGACTATCCACTAGGCCCAGGGCTTGCCCGGCATTGTGAGGTTCCAGACACACCTTTCTGGCTCAACAAGCCAAGTGGTCTGGTGCTGCACTACACCTGGGTCTGGCAGACAGTAGAGCCCTGCCAATTTTTTTCAGGCTCGGGGACACCCCATGCCTGACCCAAACAGCAGCTCCCCTACTGAGCTTTAGCAGAACTTCTTACAAGTGACATGGGACAGTGTAAGGGAGCGTGACCAGGACTTGAGCTCCTAGGAGGAAAGAAAGGGCCCAGGCCTACTAGAGGCTGGACCACAAGGCCCAGAGGAGACAGGGAGAGAGCTGGCTGTACTGACACGACAAGCACACCCCCAGCAAGTGGCCCAGCATTTCTAGGAAGAAGAAAAGCAAACCGCCGTCCCACCTCGGGCTGCGCGGTCACAAGTGAGGCAGGGCTGGGACCAGTCACCATTTGGGTGGGAGGCCAGCCCCAGGTGCGACAGGAAGGGGTGACGCTGGCTCAACGGCTGCAGCTCCTCGCTCTGACCCAGCGGGGCCCCCGTGCGGTGCTGGGGGCACAGCGAGGCCTCGGGCGCTGTTGGGCAGGGACACACACACACATACACACAGAAAAAGACATGCCATTAGAGGGAGAGGCATAGAAGCGAGCAGAGGCCAATGCCCGACCAACGTTCTCAGAGGCAGTGAACAGCCTGCTGACCCACCACATTCTGACACTGAACATGTTGCTCAAGCTCAAGGTCTGAGGGAACTTAAACCGGCAGAGCTGGGACTACGGCAGCAGCAGTCAGCCCAGTGCGAGGCCAGGCAGGACCTTGATGAAAGGTCCCATCCCTGCACCTGGAACACCCCACAAACTACTGGTGAAATAGAATACTAGTTCAGCTCCTCTGTTGTATCCTCTGGCTTCTTGAGAACAATGACTGCAAAAGGCAGGTAGAGAGCCCTGGTAAGTTTGGCTCAGCAGTTAGAGCGTTGGCCCTCTGACTGAAGAGTCACAGGTTCGATTCCCAGTCAAGGGCATGTACCTGGGTTGCAGGTTCAATCCCTGGCCCCTGCTGGGGTTGTTCAGGAGGCAACCAATCAATATGTCTCTCTCACATTGATGTTTCTCTCTGTCTCCTCTCCCCTTCCCTTCCATGCTATCTAAAAAAATCAATGGAAAAATATCCTTGGGTGAGGAATAAGAAAAAAAGGCAGGTGGAGAGAGGAGCAGCTCCCAGTGGCCACAGAGCACTACATCCACTTCCCAAAGAGGAAGCCAAGGAGACTGGAGACCACTCAGCCCACAGGGCCTTTCTGGGGGATGGAGAGAGGTTCCTTGGAAAAAAAAACAAAAACAAATAACTTCACTTCTTAAAGGGCAATCCTTATTTTCTGGTGTACCCTGGCCCAGAAGGAGACCTCTGGAGATGTAGGTTATATTTTTTTCAAGTGCTTTCATGAAGGTCACAACCTTTGCTTAAGCAGAGTTCAAACTAAGCAAGGAACCGATGGGTGAGAAAACGCTAACCTCTCCCAGCTTGATAATAATTTACAGTTCCTAGAGGCAGGAAATCTGACTTGACTCTGCAAATCTCCTATTTGACACATTTCTCAAAATGCTACTGGTGGCTGCACAATGTCAAAATGAAACCTGCAAGAGCAGGAAATGTTACCAGACCACTGACTAAGCAAGGGTTGTTGGGTTTGTCAAACTATAAACAACTTCCTCTGAAAAAGTGTTCTGTTATGCTGACAGTGTGTTACTGATTCCAGAAAGAGAGTATGAGGACCTATATTTTATTTTACAGACAGAAAACACATTTTTGCAGCCCACCCCGCAGCCGCCAGGGCTACGGGTCTCAACACTGCACTGTGACGGCAGAGGAGCGCCATTGCTGGGACCACTTTCAGTGAGCAACCAGGATGTCAACACTGCTCAAGATCAGCTTCCATCAGGTCCTGAACTCCACTGTGTTACCTGAAACCTCTTCTGAACGGTGGGCCCCGAGTACACAACATACAAAATGAGAAAACAGAGCAGCCCACCCAGCACAGACCCAGCCATGCAAACAAGTCACCAAGAACTCGTCCACATGTAGGAAAAGGAGTCCCTGCCCACGTGAACACCTGCAGAGGTCTTGCCTTCTCTCTGTTTGAAACAGAGACATACCTGTGATGCTAAAGTAGAAAATACATTGAGCTAGTCGGGAGACTTGTAGCCCAGTAAGGAGGAAAACTTTGATATGAGATTTAAGAAACAAGATTATCCAGAAAAAGCATTTGTTTCCTCTCAGCTCCCAGAGCGGATTCCCTAGTGTGTGTGCCGTGCCAGTCCCTTCACTGCAGCCCTTCCCCTAGGAGGGATCAGGAGGCTGCCGCTAGGCCCGCCTTCTCCCGAAGACCAGTCCTGCCTAGACGTACAGAATCAGATTCAGAGAAGCAGCACCGAGCCAAAGCAGCCACGGGGCCGAAAGCCCCTCTGTAACTCGATGCAGACCAAGGGCATTGCTGTCTGGGCAGCCAGAAGCTGAGATGAAGGTTAGATGCACCATCTCACTCAGCCCAAGGGCACCCACCCACCTGTTGCCCAGCATTACTGTGTCTGCAGCCAATGGGCTCTGACAAAGGGTGAGACGCGCTTGCACTACTCACAGCCATGATAGGAGGCTGGTGATCCCCCGGCCTTGCCATACTCCTGCTCCGAGTAGGTGGTAGAGAGGTTGGGCTGGCTGGAGCCACGACCAAAGGTGATCTGGTTGCTGCCCATACCAGTGGCAACCTGGGCCATGCGCTCTTTGGTTTTGAGGGCCTGGACCCTCTCAGCTTTCAGTCGCTCCTCGTCCTTGAGGAGGGCCACCAGTTGCTTTGACTTCTCACGCACATTGATGCCCTGGTCCTTGCCATCACGGTCAATGTACTGGAAGTCCTTCAGTGTCTGGATGGCAAAGATATTCTCTCGGCACTGCTGGGCCACCCGCTCAGAGCCCGTCTTGATGAGGTAGTCCAGGAGCGTCAGGGCCTTATACACATGCCGCCAGTTCTTGCCATGGTCATTGAGCCGCTTCCACACCATGCTCATGATCTCTGAGAAGGCCACCACATTGTAGGTCAGGTCAGCGATCTCGGTCATCAGAGAGCTGGACGGGCCCCACGGGTCATTGGAGGTGGCTTCCCGTACTTTTATTTCGGCTTCTGAGTAATTGTTCACAATGTTTTTCATCTGCCGTCTGATAGACGAAGTCGTCATCTTTACTTTGTTATGGACGTCAAGCCCTTCAACGAGAGAAACTTTCCTGTCCTGGGCAAGTTTGCACCCTGTGAAGGTTCAGTCTCTGTAACAGATCTGGAGCAAGATCCCTGACAGTCATTTCCTCCACTGGAGACTCGGCTCTGAGAAGCTGGAAATCATGACCTAGAGAAAGAAAGAAACACACTCACTGTGCCATGAGCTCCTGAGACAGCAGGAGGCCCTGTCACAGACACTTCTGTAAACAGCAGGTACTGACAAGGGGGCAGAAATTGGACATTTTCCAGCCACCCTAGGATGGAAGAGATTCCATCTTTCTTTCAAAACTAAGATCAGATCAATATTACAGGTTAATATTGAACAAAATGTAAATTCAAGTTTAAGCCTTTGGAAGAAAAGAAGTAAACATCATGACTATTTTCTATTTTTGTTCTATTTTCAAAATGCTCCTATTAAAACGGCTCTTCTATGGGTTGTATTTTCACTGCATGGCAAAAGTCAGCTACAGAACAATCAATGTTGGGGGAGGCTGGTCTTAACAGAGTTCAAATTATCTATGGGGATAGGAAAGCCTCTCATCTAGGTATATCTAGGTGCCAGCTATACCTTTAAAATTGCTTAACATTTGGCTTTGGCCCACCATGCTTGTAACTGCCCAGGGGCCTCTCTGTGAGTACCACTCTCCCCTGACTTTTTATAAAGGTTCCCAGCTACTCTTCTAGAGCATAGCTGGGCTTTCAAAAGTCTCCTGCATCTGCCCCAAGCTGTATATATATAGCTGAGAAATAATCTGGTTCTAGCCCAATCCCTCATTTCCAGAGAAGAAAGCTGAGGCTCCGGGTTTTGCATTGACTGGTTCACCCAGCTCTATGCCACAAACACATCCATTTCCTCTCCAGAAAAGAAACATTTACTGAGCTACAGTGAGATTCATGTCTCCGACAATGGGCTCTGGTCCATAAGTTTGGCAACCCTCATTAGTCCTGTTCACCAATGAGCACCCAGTACCTAGCACTGTGCCTGACCTGATATAAACCCTGTTGAATAAATTTATGAAACTGATGGAAAACAATGTCCCTTTCCTCGGGAAGGCCATAGTCTGGCAAGGGACAGAGCACAGGAGATCTGAAGATGCAAAGCTAGGACAACCAACTCAACTGGCTGCTGGGGCTGCAAAGGCAGGCATGGGTAGGACTTTTGCCAGAAATCACGCTCCGTATGGTGTTCAAAGCTGAGGAGAACTGAGGAAGTGGAAGGAAAGTAGTGACGTGGGTTACTCCTCATTTATAAAATGAGGAAACATGTCCAAAAGACTCCAGAGACTGCCAAAGATCGAGCAGTGCAGCTGGGGTCTGGACGTGAAGCTCCCACCACCCACTGCTCCATCCCTAACTACTTACACCTGCAGCGCTTCTTGGGCCAGGCTGTCTCACTTAATGCTCATGAAAACCTCTGGGTACAGATGTCTCTTCCCCTGGTACAGATAAGAAACCCTCCTCCCTCCTGCAGGGGCCCTTACACTCTGCAGAGCTGCTGGACTGCTTCTGCCAGAGAAACAATGAGTGGCTCCCACCTTTATCAAAGCCTCAGACAGGCAATGGACACATCAAAAGAATAAGTCAACGAAAGGTGTCCTGAGGGGAGAAAAGCCATAGGAAATGCAATCAGTAATCTCTCATTATGTGTTGCCATATAGATAAGACAGACAGCTCATAACATTTCATCCTGGTGACAATCACTACACCTGCTCTGGCCATTGAGACCTCTCCACGCTCCATTATGACAAGAATTCTGTCTCCACATAACGGGGCTTCGACTGAAGGTGCGTATATTCTGCCTCTCCACTACCTGGCTGGTGGCTCTTTTAAAAGCCTATCTAAGGATCAGGAATAAAAACTTTCACAGTGACCTAACGCTTGATTTTAATTAGGGTTTTCATTCACAGCAACAGTTCCTGCTGGCAGAGATGGGGTGGGCCTCCAAAAGGAAAAAGGAAGACTTTGATTTTTAATAACCACTTCCCAGATGAAAGCGCAAACACTCATCAAAATCAGTAACGTTCAGATATACTTAATGATGTGCCCAGGACCACTGGGCACTTCCATTTGTTATTCCATTTGATGCACAGCAGGTAAGACTGTCCCATTTCTGATGAGAAGCAGGTGGAGCTGGGATCCACCCCTGAAGAGACCCTGGGCCACCTTCCTCCAGGTAAGAGAGCAGCTTCAATTAAGCATGAGAGCAAAGAGTCCTGGTAAAAAGGCCCTAAGTGGTTGAAAATAAAATGAAAACAACAACAACAAACAATTCCTGAGGGAGAAATGATGTGCTGGGCTCTGCTGCCCCTTCTCTAGTCCCTGTCACCTTAAGGGGTGGACCAGAACAGCTGGACCTGGTGTCCTCCCAGAAAAGACTAGGGAGAGGCGCACCAGGGCTCTCACGAGCCTCCTAGGCCTTTGGTAGCAAAGAGGCAGCAGTTCCTGTGAGCAAGGGTCAGGGTGATCCTGCCGACAGACGCAGGCCAGGAAAAGAATGCCAGACAATTCAGAAGCGGCTGCAGACCAAGGCAGGGCGTCCTCTAACAGGCTGAACTTGCAGACACACCTGTTAGCAGCCTCTCTGAAATAGTCAGGCTTCAGGAAGAAAAAAGCAAATAAAATATTTGTAACATTCAAAATGTATATAAAGTCTACGTAATATAAATGGCTGCTTGCCATTTTCATTCTTTTTTGTTTTGTTTTTTTTAATCCTCACAGGGAGATATTCTTCCATTGATTTTTAGAGAGAGTAGAAGGGAGAGAGAGAAACATCTTGTGAGAGAGACACATCCATTGGTTGCTTCCCACAGGCAAATAACCAGGGCAGCTGGGGCCAGGATCAAACTTGCAACCCAGGTACTTGCCCTTGATCAGGACTCAAACCTGCGGTGGGCTGGGCTTATGCTCTCTCCACTGAGCCACACTGGCCAGGGCTGCCTGCCATCTTCTTAAAGCTATAGAGAAGAGCCACTTTCAGGACCAACAAATGGTACAAAGGGTGAGATGTGGAGATAAGAAATTCCTGATAGGAGAAAATACACAAAGGGCAACTTCGAGAAACTATTTTATTATTATTATTTTTTAATCCTCACCCGAGGACATTTTTCCATTTCTTGTTCAGATAGAGTGGGAGGGAAGGAGAGAGAGAGAAACATCGACGTGAAAGGGACACATCAAGTGGTTGCTACCTGCACAACCCAACCAGGGCCAGGGACAAACTGCAACTGAGGTACGTGCCCTTAGCAGGAACCGAACCCAGGTCTCTCTGGAACACAGGTCGAGAAATTATTTTCATAGCCAAATGGGTTACATGCCTCACCCAAGTCTTTGCAGATCAAAACTTCCAATTCCACTCTGGCTGGGTAGCTCAGTTGGTGGGAGCCTCATCTCATACACCAAAAAGGTTGTGGGCTCGATTCCCAGTCAGGGCACATACCTAGGTGGTGGGTTCCATCACCAGTGGGGGCACGTACAGGAGGCAAATGATCTATGTTTCTCTTTCACATTCATGTTTCCCTCTCTCTAAAAATCAATTAAAAAATATATCCTCAGGTGAGGATTTTAAAAAAATAAAGAAACTTCCAATTCTGTCTGTGAGAGAACCTGATGATATACAGGTAGGCTGGGGACCACGGCCGTGCCAGACTGGGCACGCAGCTCCCCTGGGTGCCTCCAACTGAAGACATGGACTTCTGTGGCTCTGCCACACTTGTCCACACCTCAGACTTCGATTTCCCCATTTTAAAACATCTTCCCTCCCCAAACATCTGTCAGGTATTCCCTCCCGAGAGCCAGCCTCGAACACACACCATCCTCAAGTACACGTACTGTGTTATTTTCAGAATCTGGTTTTTTTTTTGTTCTCACTCTCTTTTGAATAGTTTGCATGTTCCACTTTCCAAACTTTCCTTTTCAATTTGCCAGTTTTCTTTTCTCCAACTTGTTGAACCTGAACTAATGTGCATGCAAAAGTACTAAAACAGGATAATTTGTTACCTTCTGGGCTCTTCATTCAAGCCTGGGGAAATGTGACCAGTTCACAAACATCCATCATTTATTAAGGACCTCCAGGACAGATATGGAAGGGTAGTGAGTAGGGGGACAATGTCAAAACAAGAAGGAAAAATAAACTTGGTTAAAGTTTAGACTAAAAGAAAAAAAGTGAGAAAACTCACTCTCATAAATTATATAGTGACCACTGGAAGGACAAAGGTTATTAGAAGATCAGTAACTAAAATGCCTTTAGAAATATATTTCTATCATCAGGTATTATTTAGAACTATTTTACGATAAGTTGTGAACGAAGCAAGTGAGTTTATACAATTCTGTTACAACTTTAAATATTTTTGAGTGGAGGCAGCAAAATGACTTCAAGTTGGGATTTACTATTCAAGGCAAATAAATCCTTTTGCACCTACCAAGAGAGCTGGACTAGGAACTAGAGGACGTCGCTGACTTCCCTGGATGAGATGACTAGGAACTCCCAACCACTGCAACCCCACCACACCACCCTACTCCAGTCCCAGGCCTGAAAAGCCTGTTTTGAAACAGTACTAATTAATGATTGATTTTATTAAGAATCGGGGTTTCTGATACACATGAGATAACCACTAGTAACCACAATGAGCTGATAAAATCCAACCTACAGCAAAGAAACTGAACTTATCAGCTGGTCTGGGGAAGTCTCCCCATGGGCAATGCACATTTCTGCCAGGCCTTCCAAAAGGCCCTTGGGAGCTCTGAAGACTCCATCTCAAAAGCCACAGACTAGCCCTGGCAGGTGTGGCGCAGTGCTCAGAGCGTTAGCCTGCGTACCGAAGGGTTGTGGGTTTGATCCCCCCTCAAGGGCACATACCTGGGTTGCAAATTCAATCCCCGGCCCTGGTCAGAGTGCAAGAGGGAACCGATCGATGTGACTCTCTCACATTGATGTTACTCTCTCTATCCCTCCCTCCCTCCAAATCTCTAAAAAAAAAGATCAACGGAAAAATATCCTCAGGTGAAGATTAAAAAAAAAGCCGGAAGGGGACACTCTCACTTTTCTACAGTTAGTCCCCAGTACTAGGGAAGGTTCTTTAAGCCAAAGAATCTTTACTGGAAATGAGATGTGATGTTTCTGCCCGTTCA